GCGTAGTAAACTTGCTACCAAGTGGCTGGTTGGTCTCCTTAGGGGATGTTGTATCGGGGGCTCAGCTTTGGTTTCTGTTGATGATGGGCTGGACATTCAGCTGTGGTTGTAGATCAGCCTGAGCGAGAGGGAGTCAAGGCTGTTGGGTTAGGCGTGACTTTGTCATTGTCACCATAATATTCTGCTCATGAGCCCCCATTATGCAAGAACTACTTGGAGGGTAGGGGCAAGGACAGAGACTGACTGACACCCACTGGCTGGGTCGTCTGGCTTACTTGGTTTAGTGGCTCTTCTTCAGTGGATGCTCGCTGGCTCGTGTGAAGTGTGCTACAAGGACAGAGACTGACTGACACCCACTGGCTGGGTCGTCCGGCTTACTTGGTTTAGTGGCTCTTCTTCAGTGGATGCTCGCTGGCTCGTGTGAAGTGTGCTACACGCTCTGCTCACTTCTTGTGCACTCCCATAGGCCCACATGCCTCTTTCCCAGTCTCCTTGTCTCTCTGATAGTCCAATCTTGCTCTTCCCAGGCCTCTGACCCATAGCTAAGCCATTCATCACTGTCCACAAGTACGTGTGTATCCTTATCTCAGTCACTTCTCTTGTGATGCAAATGGCCAGGTGCACTGTCCCAATCCCTGCCTAGTGGAGTGACTTCCTCTCACCACAGTCTTTGAGGGTCTCCCTTGAGTGGGCTGTAGTGCAGGCTCAGTCCAGCTTTGGCTTGCACCCACATACCAAGTTGACCCATCTGTGAACCAAGCTCAGGAATTTTTCTTCTCTGCAGCTGGTCCTACAAACCCTCTGTGTGGCAATATAAGTACGTGTGCCAAAGGAGAGGCATTGGTGCCACAGTCCCCATCCTCAGTCTTGGGGGTCTCACTCATTCCCTACTAAGGACCTGAGCTCTGAGTAAAGGAGACCTGCCTCAACTGAGAATACAGCCTCTTCTCAAGCTCTGCTGCTCTTGCAATGAAGTCCTCTGGCGGAAGGTCATTCCGTCTGTCCTCTGGCTGCAGTAAGTGTTTTTCGGTGCTTCCTGCCAAGAAGTTTCCTCTGACTCTCGCACTTTAAATCACTGATTAAGAGATCTGCGACTGTAGTTGCCTTTCCTCAGTGAATCAGTGACACTTAGCAATAGCCACGCAAATCCACAGTCTTAGTAGTTATTCTTTGCCCCTATCTCTCAGATGCCACAGACATTGCACCAGCTGGTGCCGCACCTATGTCACATCTCATTTCACCTCAGGTGACGCACTGCCACCCCATACCCGGGACATCAATCTCCACCTGCCACAAGTGAGGGGGTCCTCATTGCCATATGGTCAGTGGCTCCCGTTCAGCATCCTACCCTCAGAGCCTGCCTCCCAGGCACCTGCTATCTTAGGTCAGGCTCCCCAGGAGCAGAGCCTGAGACAGGCATGAAGATTCCTGTGATTTATTGAGGGAGGGGTCTCAGGAGAAACCTATAAAGGAGGGGTGAGGCAGAACAAGGGAGGGGAGACAGCTGAGTAAGCATATGGCATCAGGTAAAATCTAGCCCTGCCGGACCCACAGGGAGGACTTGGGAGCACTAACTACCCCTCAGCAAAGAGACTGTGCTTTTATTCCTTTTAGGTCATTTTTTGGCTCTGGCCTGCCTGGCAGGGATGCATGTGTGGGGTGAGGGGTCAGGTAAACTCCCAGGCAAGGAGGTCCCTGTCTGCTGAGGGTGATTCTCTGGTGAAGCGGGGATGCTGTGGGCTACTGGCAGCCAGCACCCATAGCAGGGGAGGAAGGTGGGCCAGTCGGTAATGGAGGTCTTTACGAAGCAGCCCAAGTACATAGTTACTGCAGGAGCCCATGACCAAGGCAAAGAAGGCATGGCCAGAGGGACTCGAGGAGAATGGAAGAACCAAAAGAGGGAATTGTCACAGAACCCAAGACGAGAGAGTTTCAAGGAAGCAAGGAAGAAACAGCAACTGTCAAGTGCAGCCGTGAGGTCCAGTCTCCAAAAGCAGCATGGATCTTAGCAACTGAGAGGCCACTGGTGAACTTGCAAGAGAAGAGGTGGGCACGAACCAGGTGTATGAAGGGTGACAGAGGAAAGAGAGTGAGCCAGGCTGAGAAGCCTGTGTGAGAAGGAGCAGAGAGTCTGGACGGCGAGGGGTGGAGGTGGGTGGCCCAGCCCCCCTCTTGACGCCAGGGCCCAAACCTGGGCTAGGGGAGAGGCGGGAGGTGCAGGAAAGGGGCTGGCTGTGGTGAAGTCCCTCACAGAAGAGAAGGGGGTGATGTCAAGGGTGGCGGGAGGATGGAGGTGGGCCTGTGGTCAGTGGTGGGTGGTTGGTAGGGACCTGCCTGAGGGTTGGGAGCCTGCTGAGGTGGGCATTGTTGAGTTAGAGGCTGGAGCAGAGGACAAAGGAGGGTGGGTGGGACCCATTAAAGGTAGGATGGATGCAATGAGGACTAAGTGAGGCTGGAGGTCCCCATGTGTCCTGGCATCAACCTGTGGGGTGGAATGACCTTCCCCAAGAGCAACCTATGGCCTTATGCGGTGGCACAGTCAGTGGTCAGAGTGGAGGCAGTTTTAATTTAGGATCTTTAAGACAGAGAGCACCCCTCCAAAGATTAGGAGAGACACAAAATGGAAATAAAGATTCTATTAATTCCAGGCCCTGGTGGTACATGGCATACCAGAGACCCCACACACATAGGTCAGGGAGTGCAGGCAAGGAGCCAGAGGGACCCATGGGCCAATGCCTCTATTGGGACCAGGGCGTTACCCAAACAGGAGTTTTAACTGGTGGGTTTAAAGCAAGCTGAGAGGTGACTGAGAGGTGATCACTGTGGCCTTAACTGCACAGCCCATGTGCGGTGTGGGGGTCAGCGGGGTGAGTCGAGCAGGCCGTGTGCAGCTGCCCATAGGGAAGTGGTCTAAGGCAGATGTCTGGATTGGCCTCGCTGAGGACATGGGGTGGGGGTTGGGGGAGAAATGAAAACTGAGTCAAGGGTGCCAGCCTGCTTCTGGTATGAGAAAGTCAACCCACATTTGGAATGGACGCCGAAGCAATGTAACATAAGCGGTCACTGCACTGGCCTCGCAGGGTGGGCTGGAGAAGAACAGAGACCAAGATGACCCCCGAGGTGTGGCCCAGGTATAGGAAGGCAGCCATCAGGGAAGGCTGAGCTCCGAGCTGCCCTGCACCAGGCCCTCCACTGGACCTTTCTGGTGGCCTTTTCTCATCCCAGGGTTAGGCCCACTGAAGGAAGTGGCCCTTTTCTGGAGGAGCTGGCTGGGGCGTGGCCGGCAGTTCTCCCTTCTGCGCTGTGCGGTAGCCACAGGCCTGCGTACGGCTGTGTTCCTGGTGTCAGGGTCTTGAGCTAAGATGTCAGGAAAGTCTGCTTTTCATAGTGAAGTTAGGGGAGCTCGCTGCCCTCCCTCCCCCTGCCCACTTCCTGCCTTTAAGGCAATGACATTCAAACTTTTTGTTTTTAACCACAACCCACAAGTAAAAATTGACCTCATGACTCAGCTTGCAAATGTGTGTACAAATGCACACATACCCCCTGCAACAAAAGTTTCTTGATGCAAACCTTCCCCTTGCTTTGTTGGGTATACTTCTGGTGTTTTCTACTTTATTCTCATCTATTTCATTAAGGAGTGCGGGTCACACCCCCACGCTGTCGCTCGAGGGGTCAGGATATGGGACAGGGAGCTGGTGCACCCTGCGGGAGGCTCTCCCAAGACTGCCTGACCACCGCCCTCGGGAAGGAGTGTCTGTTCTCAGATAAAAACACAGCCTGGCCTGGCAGTGCTGGCAGAAGGCAGCACCCCAGCTTAGCCGTGATCAGGATTCCAATTTTACTGTAGATTCCTCTCCCTGTCACCTTCCACCTCCCACCAGAAAGGGAGACTCAAGGTGGCTCCAGGGTGGCCTCCCCTGCTTGCTCGTGCACAGACACGCCCCTCACATTCTCCTGACACACGTCCCACAGCCACTCTGGATATACCAGGGTGGATGTACTGGGGGTGCCTGCCCAGCCCCCAGCCCTGTCTGTGGACAGTACCTGCCCAGGGAGGCTCTGGTGGCCAAACTTGCCACATTTGTTCTCTTCCTCCGGCCCAGTCAGGCCAGGGGGGGAAGAGTGGCGACTGGCCACTGGGCTCTGCAATCAGATTTGCTTCCCCAAAACTTAAACCTGGTGGCCAAACTTGCCACATTTGTTCTCTTCCTCTGGCCCAGTGGTCAGGCCAGCGGGGGAAGAGTGGCGACTGGCCACTGGGCTCTGCAATCAGATTTGCTTCCCCAAAACTTAAACCGAAGACGCAGGAGGTGCAGGCAGTGTGTGCGGGGGCTGAGGCTGTAAGGATGGTTAGAGCTGCGGGCTGCATGGGGCCGCAGCGAGAACGCCCCGGGTGGAAGTGCAGTCACAGAAGCTCCCCTCGAGGGCAGCAGGGCAGTGTGCTGAGACGCAGACGTGTGCGATGGCCCACAGGGACAGTGGCTGCTGCTGACATCCTGCTCTAAGAAGCCTGGCTGTGCTCACACGTCTTCATTCCTGAATGCTTCAAACAGTGCCCGCTGTGGCTTAACATGAACCCAGAACAGTTCACAAGGAACTACCAGAGACTGGACACTATGGGTCACCTGGAGTCACATCCCAACTGAGACTCCAGCACCTGGTAAAGACCCAGTCCCCCACCCACCCCCATCCAGCCCCTGGCTGCTGTGCAGTCTACTTGCCCCACCTGCAGGTGCCACTGCTGGGAGCAGAGCCTGCTGGAGACAGGGGTCCCGCCGGAAGCAGGTGAAGGCACAGGGCTCTGAACACTCTCACCTACCCCCAGGTTCCAGGGCCTCCTGCAGGGATGCCAGGGCCAGAGGCTCTTCCAGCCCAACACCCACACCACACGACTGTTTGTGTGTGTGCAGGGTGACAGGGCAGGGGAGGTGGTTTAAAAACAAAAGCAAAAACACCCAAACCACTCCTTAACATCCACAAAATAGCTAATTCGCCAAACCTTCGTTTTTGTCAATTTATTTAGAAAAAAATTAACATGGGCAAATGAGATACCTCAGTGTTACAACAGAGTATAGAAATGTCTAGCAATAGTCAAATAATTTGATCTTTAAATACAAAATAACCACATGAACACCTAATATACAGGTTTCATCTGAATACATATTTATTAGATAAATATTAGAGGTTGTCACATCATCTAACTACATACAGCTTTGCAAGACTAGAAATCACAATGAGTTTTCTGACCAGTTGAAAGTATGAAATGATTGCATTGTACGTACGATGTACAAAGACGATGACGGTTTCCGTGGGTTACTCAGGCTGCACGTGGGTGTGTGTACGTGTGTACGTGTGGATCACCTGCGATCATGATATCAAAAATTATACAAAGTATGAATTTGGTTACAATTTTCTTCTGAAATCCCCATTTCTTTTCATTATTTCCATAGCACCCTAAAAATACACAGGTGGCAGGACTAGTACACTGAAGCTAAATAGTACATGTAGGTAAAATAAAAACAAAACAGAACAAAAATTCCTTTCCACACAGGGTCAGAGTATATTACATGAGAGAGACAAACGTGGGGAACTCACAAACGCTAACAAACAGAATCTAGTTTTTCCACGTAAGATGGAGTTCCAAGCCTTTTTTTTTTGTCTTGTTTCATAAAATAAAAACAATACACATTCCGAGAGAAATGAATGCATCTGTTGACATGTCTCTATTCCTCATTTACATATGTACACACGTCACGGCGTGGTGAAAGCCTGGGTTGCAGCCAGTCAGCACAGCCTTGAGCACAAGGACAGACAGAGGCTGGACACATGGCTGCCCTAGCTCCTGCTGCTGAGCACCCCACCCCCTTCCACATGCCCCTGGCCTGTCTGGCTGGACACACAAGAACCAGGACACAGAGGGAAGCGGGTGTCCCATGGAACAGTCTTGGAGAGGCAGAAGGGAGCCCGAGGAAGGAACAGACACATGGAGAGAAATGGTTTCCTTGCTGTCCGAGTGCAACGTTCCTTTTCTCCACGTGACTTCATAGCTTTAAATTGTTGCTGTTTAAAAACAGGGAGTGGCTTGGAGCAGCTGTTTAAGTTGCTGCTCCTGTTCGACACGGCCGCGGCATCCCCCCGCCCCTACTGAGGGCGCGATCATTTTGGCTGGGCGCACGCTCCTGCTCTTCTCTTTCTGCCGTCAAGGCTGGGCCCTGCTCTGAGCCTGAAGGTTGCGGAGCCATCCGAGGTGTCGTCCTGGCTCTGGGAGGCCCTGACCCCCTCTTTCCACCAGTCTCCCGGAGGGAATGGCACACCCTCTCTCAAACACAGAATCTTGTCCTTTTCCTCTGCTTTCCGAGAGAGAGCATTAACGGGGTGTCTTGGTTTAGAGGTCAAGGGTCAGAATGACGACCCTTGGACCGAGAGATGTTCTCTTTCCCAGAGGTTTGTGCTTTTCTGTGGTGGGTGGTGGGTGGTGGGCAGGCGGGCTTTACCACCACCCACTGCCACCA